CAATCTAAGCCTCCCCTGTTACAATTTGAGGCCATTTCCTCTCCTCCTGTCACCTGTTCCCTGGGAGTAGAGCCTGACCCCCACCTGGCTCCATCCTCCTGTCAGGGAGTTGTGGGGAGCAAGAAGATTCCCCTGAGCCTCCTTTTCTCCAGTCTGAGCTCCTTTCCCAGCTACCTCAGCCACTGCTGGTGTTCCAGACCCTTCCCCAGCTCTGTTGGCCTTCTCTGGACCTGCTCCAGCCCCTCAGTGCCAGGGTGGAGCCTGTGTCCTGCTTGGGGATGTAGGAAAGGCACTGTGCCTATTTATCAGAAGTTGGGCTTGATCTTGGCTGGAACTTCAAGGCAGTAATTTCAGTAATGTAACAGTAATTAAATGAGACACTTAGAAACTACATCTGGCTAAAGCATATTCCCCATTGTTCTAAAAACCCCTCTTTTCAATTGCTACTCTTAAATTTATTTGGAAATATTACTGCTGCATTGGTCAACTCTCTCCTTAATGGCTTGAACTGTTGTCTATACAGATAGCACGTGATAAATTATTTTGTGTTTCTTTCTGTTTTGTGTGTAAACTAAATATATAAGAGAAATGGCTGTTCTTTAGGGCTGGCCTTCACTTTTTGATCTATTTGTACAAGACTTGGCATTACTGGGTCCTAGTCTATGATTGAACCCTACAAGCACAATGGTACTGCAAATAAATAAATTGCTACCCTGAAGATAAAATTATATTTACTTGCACTTTTCCCTACAGGTCTTTTCACCAGAAGTCTTAAATGAAAAAGTACTTCCTCTGCTGTTCCCAAATCTTCTGCATCCATGTCTGGCTCCACTGACCTGACTGACAGTGGAGGATTTGTCATTGGCCTAACAGGAATGAGGGGTCCAATAGCTGAGATGGTTTAGAACAAATAAGTACAAGGCTTTGCTCTCCTGAAGCTTTGCCTGACATGGAGCTTGTGTCCAAAGGTGGAACAAAGTATGGCAGCTTTTCCCTTGAGCACTGGGAAAGTAAGACAGATTTTTGGTAGTACAAGTCTTGCCCTCAGCACTTTATCATAGATATGATTTGAGAGTGCCCTTTCAAGGTAATGCCTGGTATTGACATGCATAAATCTACAGTGATTTGGTCTGTTTTCTAAGGATGGGAGTCTTAGGACAAATACAAGGAGATAGCTTAACTACCTATTTAAGGAGTCACCAATCTATTCTCTAAATGTTCCCACTATATTTCAGAGTGTGAACAGGAGATAAATTATACATTGGAGTAGTTTGCTTATTTTGACTGTTTAGTGACTAATTCATCCATGGACACTCCTCCTTCCTGCTTTGTATTTATCACCAGATCATGATTGTGTAGGTATTTGTAAAGGGAAATCAGATCTGAGAAATGGGGATGTGTCTCTGCACATTGCAGCTCCATGTCGTGAGCAGTGCTGCAGCTGGGACAGGGCCACAGACATTCCAGGGGATTGTTGCAGGGTTTTTGTTTTGATGAACATCTGAGACGTTTTCACTGAATACAGTGTCTTCTGAGTTAAAACACAAGTCCTGACTGTTCCTTTGACATACAACTGTGAAACTCATTTTCTGCAACACAAAAACATGAATGGTGTAAAATTTGCATTTTTCGTGAATATTCATTTAATATTGATAACTATTTTAGTCTTGCTTACATACTCCCCTTCTTTTCTGATATCCAAACTGGCTTTTTAGTAATTAATTTGAATTTTGGTACTAACAAGTGGCATCTCCTATGAAGCCTATTGCAAACATGGCACATTGTTCTAAATTGCATAATAAATAATCGTCTAGAACGGTGACACATTCAGCAAAATGCCTCTACTCCCGTTTGACAGGGTGAACGCCTATGTGCTTTTCAAAGCAACTAGTTTAGCACTCTTCATTTACAAAGAGGGAAGGGAGAGGAGAGAGAAATGCTACTCTGAGAACAGCTTGTCTCATGTTGACCTACTTTCTCCACCAATCTGCGTGCAGCCCGAGCTGCTGCTGTGTTGACACTACATATCCAAGCTAAAGCAAAACCAGCAGAATCCGTGGCCTTAGAGATTGGCTCTAGAGAAGACAAAAGGCCTTCTGGGTTTGATATGGCTTTTGGATGTGCAGGCACGGCAGGACTGGGATGAAGAGAGCTGATTTTCAAAACTGACTTCTGTGCCTCCCCTTTCGTGTGTGATCTGAAGTAGATTTTGCTCACCTAACGAGGCCACTCTGTCTCTAATCTCTGAGGTACATTAATGTCTAAAGCAGGTGGTGTTGGTCCAGGGAGGGTGTCCTTATCTGCATGGGAGATGTGGTCACAGAACTAATTTTGCTACTCTTATCAGCATTTTCTCTCCTGCAAGGAAAATCAGAAAATAAAGGAAAAAGGCTGTCCCTATGAGAAAAGCAGGGATGCCCATTTTTCATCCCTTTGACTCACTTTTAGCCCCTAGAGATTATTTGCAGAGGGTGTAAATTAGGGTAACCCTAGAACTCCCCTAATCTCATACAGAAGGGAGAAGTTTTTTACTCCCTGCAGACCAGGGAAAGGAAACCTTTTTTTGTTTGTATTTACATATCTGTGCAAGGGTTAACCTTATACTGTTTGGAAATTATTGGATACGGAGATTCGATTAATGATCTTTGGGTTTTGTTTTTTACTAGCTATCATTAATTTTTGAGAGGACATAATTTTTGATGCACTTCACATCTACGACTCCTGCTGCCTACAGTGGGAGGAGGTGCTGCTACCTCTTGAGAAATGGGAGTAAAAAAACATGTTGTGTTGATCTGCATCAGGTTTATCATTTCAACCAATGTTTTCACAAAAACTGATCTGTGCTGTACAAAGCAAATATTATTATTCCTTTGCCCTCGAGAGCCTCATGTCCTTTAATGGAAATGAATACAGTTTTATTCTTAGCAGGTTCTTGCAGAAACCTCCAGTAATGTGACTTTGCTCAAAAATGTCTTTTTTATGACTAGTTGTAATTTAAAGCAAGAACCTTGTTAATTCTGAGGAGAAAGATGATAAAACTTTTGTTCAAAACCATGGCAATTGCTTTACACCATTCTGAAGATTTCTTTTTGCAATCACTTTTTTTTTTTTTTTTCTCTTTTTGCATTTCCTTTAAGAAGGTTATCTGTGAAAAGATACTGGAAAGATGTCTTGGCATCCATTTATTTATTTAGGTCCCAAAGAAATTAAGTTGACCTCAGTTTAATAGAACAAGTAAAATAATGAGGCAAATCAGAGCCTTTAAAAATACCTAAATGAGGTCTAGTAGAAACTACTTACTGCTGCGTGAAGTGTTACTGGGACTTGTACTTTTTCCTGGAATCCTTTGGGGGAATTACAGCACAGTACAGTGGCACACGAACATGAAGTTCACTAACCTGCCTCGCTCTGTGGCACTCTTGTCCCACAGCATCCTGCCTTTTATGAGCTCTTGTGATCTGCTTTGAGAGTGGAGTAAAACAGACACCATAGGATGGACTAAGAGTCCTTGGGTAGAGTCAGCCCAGAGCACCAAGTGCAGTTATTACACTGAACTTCTTCCCCACAGAGATTTGAGGATTTTAAAATTCACTTAATGCAGCGGGTTCCACTTCTCCCAGGAACACCCAAGTGGGTGAAAGTTTGACATCTGTCATTCTGCTCAATTTGTGTTTCTGGGGTAGAGGCTCTCCTATCCTCCGCACTAAGATTTCTCTGCTGACATTCCCTATTGCTAAATGTTTCTTGGCCACCCAAATTTTCCAGCTGATAAGCCATGTAGGCCACTGGGGCAGGAAGCTTCAGGGCTGTTTTTACTGGCTGCTCCCGGGTTTTGAGAGGCTGAGGTTTGAGGGTTTGGGTTTACATGAGTTCTCTTGTAATGCTGAAACTCCCTGCCTTGACAACACCTCATGATCCAAAAGTTCCTACACCTCTGAGCCATGAAATGCAATTGAGAGCTCTTAGGTGGTAAGAACTGCTATTATTGTAGCCCTCAAACACTCAGGTACTTTTTGTTGAACTGTCTGCGTGTGTTGTTTGATAATTGTTTGGCATAATGCCTGTGTCCTTTGATTTAAATTAGGCAACAACAGCTTTCCCATTAATATCTGCTAGGAATTAGGTAAAGTCAGGGGTAAGACACTGGAAGAAAAGTGATGATGAAATTATAGGTGGATCAGGTGAGTTTTAGACATCAGAAAAAATTACAGCAAAATAGATTGGTTCCCTATACCTGCCATTTCTTTCATCTGTGATATTTAATACTTCTCATTATTTTGCATCAATTTTTAAACTTATGCCATTTGAGGAATTCTTGTAAAGTACAGATAACGGTGAGAACTGAGAGTCATGAATTGTAGTCCTACCTTTCTTTCATCCTCATTTGGTGATGTCTGAACTTGGGGAGCCAGGACAATGTCCAGGCTCTCTGTGGTGGGGCAACACCTGGGCATGAGCATCTCTCCCTTCCTTACCTTGACATCTATGGAAACCCACAAATGGAAAAGAGTTTCAGGCTAAACCAGCTAAATCAACCAGGGCTTTGGTCTGAGTGGTGTCTGTCAGGACTCTCTTGCTCTACAGGGCGCAGATGCAGCCTGAAAAAAGCTTAAGTAAGGTGCTTAGTCCTCCTGTTTCTGTTCACTGTGCTGTGCCAGCATTCATAACCCTCACTGAATGGCACCAGGATTAATTCCTTAACATCTGGAAAGAGATTTGAAAACCAAAAGCAATAATTTTACAATTATGCTTAATCAACACAGTGCATTTAATGTTTATATTATTATATGAAGGTTCATTGACAAATTAAGGACACATTTTAAAACTCCGTTAGAAAAGTCAGCAAATAGAAAGTCTTTGTTCATTAGTATTTGGTTTATGACCAGTATTTAGTTTATGATCCTGTACCAGCAATGTTCTGCCTTCTCTTTGATGGATGTGGACTGGAGGAACACGATGCTTTAGTGACCTCTCAAGCATCAAAGCTCACAGCCCAGTTCTTTCTCAAATTTCAAGGTTTTATTTGATTGTGGTGGGTTTACTTCTGCTGAAAGTACAGTCAATACCATGAAGACAAAGAAGTGCATTACATTTTTCATCAGTAGTATCACTTCCAGCAGGAATAGAACAAACAAACCTTTTTAGCTGTTTACATGAACAGACATTCAAGTGTATCCTCTAGTTCCCCTGGGAGGTTAATTTTTAAAACTTACATCATTTGAAGACAAAATTGAGTCAGTCAAGTGCCTTTTTAAAGTAGTGAATTAATTAGATGCCCCCATCCTGCTCAGGTCAGCTGCTGCACATGGATTCTATGTGACCAGCACCATACTGGTGACCAGTCCTGTTAGAAAACTGAGCTTCGCTGTCTCAACCTGCTTGTTCTATCACACCTTGGCTCTGGTCCCTTTGCTCAGAGCTCAGTGCCACAAGGGTCCCCCAAGGTCTGGTTTGGGGGTGCTGCACTATCCATCCTGGGCTGCCCCTCTGCTGTGCTGGAGTTCTCCTGGGTGCGATGGCAGCTGGAGCCAAATGTGGAAGCACAACTAAAACCATATCTGGAAAGTGTGTGCTGCCGAAAAAGTCACTAATTCCTTTAGTCACTCCAGTAAATCTCTTCCCACAACAAGCATGCATCGAGAGTTTCTCCTGCCTGAAAGAGACCTGTGGGAGAACCTCAGTGTCAGAAAGGTTAAGTAACTCAGTCCATAATTGCAGGGACATGTCTATAATTTCAAATTCTCTGTGCAGAAAAGGAAGACCTGTCTTTCCATCAGACCATGTGGCAGCAGAATCTGGCCATCCTGTGCAAATCCTGTAGATGTAATAGATTCCTCATTTGACACAGATTTTCAAGCCAAGGTGATTAGTAAGTCATAAATATAATGCTAACGTGATCCTTAAAATAAACAACTTGCCTTGATTTTAAAATCCCAGGAGATGAGGTTTAATTTCTCCAACCAATCTGGGAATGTAAAAGATTTTCCTGCAGTGCCTTATTGATATAATTTGACCTTGCTCAGCATTGGAGCTCCCTGATGGAGGTGTGGGGGGAGGAGGGTGTGTGGACACACATGCAAAGTGCTCTTACTATGCCTGTATTCAAATTCCAATTCCATATTCTTGTAAGAACGATCTCACTGGGAACCAAAAATAGCACAGACAGAAAATATTCTCACAAGGTGATTGTCACATAAATAAAAGGAGTTTCTCTTTAACCCATTCTCTTATCAGCTGAGCTCTCTGCAGGCTCCTCATCTCTGCCGTGCTTTGCTTTAGCCATTGGCCAAGAATCTACTCATGAAAAGCAGCAATTTAATGGTAATAAATAGCTCTGTGGTTGACAGCATGCCACTAAGCTGGATTTAATGAAGTGTGCTTACCTTGTTTTAACAATATAAAAGTGTTGGTTCAGCGATGGTAATTTGCTGTCTTTGTAGCAGGGTGTGTTTGGAGTTTTGGTGAAACTGTTTTTCTGGGTCTTTTCTAGCTTTGAACATGCCCAGTTACATCTGCTACTGCTCTGTTCCGTTCGAGGAGATAGCACAAAATGCGTGCCTAGCCCAGGTTCTTCCTGCCTGTCACAATTTCCTGTACAGAAAGAGAAGACGAATTAATGCTGATGCCTTTATTTATTTTTATTACTGCAAGACTCACAAACCTTGGTTTTGAAGGAGACTTGGCTGTGCTAGGCATTATAAATACACATAATAAAAAGATTGTCCTCTCAGTAAGGCTGTCCTCTACGTGCTGGAGGGGGATGACAGAGGATGCTGGTGGAGGGTGCAAGGAAACCACAAAACAATCTTCAACACACAAAGCAGCTGAGCAGTTGAGTTTATAGGCACCAGGCAAAGTAGAGGCATGAGGAAAAAGAAAACCTGCATTCACTTGTTCAAAGCTCCAGTGAGTAGTGTGACCTGGCAACACCTGCACATCTGAGGTTGAGTCTGATCAGTGCAAGGAACAGATCCATCAGAGACGGGGCCCACAGGGTGGAGAACTGGTGTGTTAGACGTGGGAGAGGTGACAAAGGTGAAAGAGGGGAGTTGATCCCATGAACCCCATTTTACCCTGGCTGTTTTGGGGGAAATGCACTCTGTGAAGTGTTAACTGTGGTCTTCAAATGAGGTGATCTGTCAAGATGGCATTTTTCAGTGGTGTGTTAATTCCTGGACTTCTGTGGTAGACAGTTTCATACAAATAAAAGCTACCATTCTGTTATTTAATTTGAATTTGTTCATAGATTATGAAAAAGAGCTGATGGTTGTATATTTACCACACAACAGATGTTCAAAGTTCTCAGGCACATCATCTGTCCAATTGCCCATGGCTTTGTCTATTCCAATTATTTTTTCCCATATGTACACATTGGGTCACATTCCAGCTCTGAGACAAAGGGGGGTTGATTTTTTTATTCCTCTGCAAAACTACTGATATCCTTTGGGCTTCTCTCAAGACCTGTCACATCCCAAAGAGACCTGAAAACTTGCCCATGGCAGTAACCTGTAAGGGAATGACTGACAGGCTCCCAGTCAGAAGGTCTGGTGATACCTCTCTATGAAGCTTTTCATTTTGGGTGTGATCCTCAGCTTGCCCATGGTGCTTTATTCCAAAAAGGTTGCTATATGTTGGATATTCCAGCAAGGCTGCCTCATTCTGCCTGTGGGAGAACTTGGGAAAAACAGACCCAGGGAGTTGCTGGACAAGCTAAAGTGGTAGAGGTTACTGGCAGAACCTGAGTGCAGGAACAGAGAGAGGATGGATGCTGCCCAAAGACAAGCAAAAAGGTTTTCACTGTCATAAGCAGCTGAAGAATTGCTGTCCCCTTCTTTTTGGTATTGATAACCTCGGATGTCTCTCAGACAAGTGCTCCAGTGAGCCTCAGTGCTGAGGGGGATTTGGGAGAAACACTTACCTGAGAAGACGCTGGTAAGCACCTGCCTGGTGACACCTTGGCTCTTCTGGAGCAGGGTGAGCTGCCCTGCTGGGATTTGGAAGCAGCCCCCACACGTTCTCCTTGCAGGCTGAGCTGATGTGCTGCTCAGCTCCCCTTTGTGTCTCTGTGTCCTTGGCAGGAGCCTGTGCTGAGCCGGGGCCGTTCCGGCACGAGCGGCTGAGGCAGAAACCTGGAGCAGCCACGCTAGTTGTAGTGGAGCCCTGACTCAGAGAGATGCAGTCCTGCAGGGAGCTCGATGCTGTCAGAATGCAGAGTAGGCTGCAAAAACCTTGCAGGGAGCAGAGAGAATACAACGAGCTCAGAGCAGCTGGGTTTGACATTGGACAATCAGCCAGGCACAGTGCAGCCAGCCCGGGATCATTGGCCATGCTGAGAGGCAGGGATAATTAAGCACACACAAAGATACCCTGCAGATACCCTTCTGCAGCTCTTAACTATTCTTAGAAAAGTTTTCCTAATATATAGCTTCTATATTGCTTCCTCTGAATTAAATGAATTCCTGTGTTATTGGTCTCATATTCTTGTTTACTATTTTAGAAGATACTATCATATTCTCTTGAGTCTCCTCTTTTCCAGACTGAGCAAATAGTGAAGAATTCAGCTTTGCCCTATAGGAGGATATTTTCCTCTAAAATTCCTCTGCATTTTGGTTAAAATATGATGTTCCAAATCTTACTACAAGAGAAGTTTCACTAATGCTTAATGAGAGGGAATAATTGCTTTTGATGTTTGACATGGATTGGTGGTATTAATACATCACTGAATGAGCTTTGCTCTTTTTGTTGCAGTGTGTCAGTGTTGAGTCATATTCCACCTGGGGTCCTCCATGACTCCCAGCACTCATTTTGCAGTACTCTTATTTAACCACTTATTTCTTATTTTGCATTTGTTCTTTTGACTTCTCCTTCTTTTCCTGCTGCTTCGCACTTGCTTTAGTTGAATCTCTTGACTTGATCTAAGGGTCTTTATTCAATATATCAAGACTGTTCTGAATTCTAGGATAGTCTTTCAAAACAGTCACAAACTTCCCCAGCATCTGCACCTTCTGCACTGTCCTTTCTATGAGCTGAGCCATTTAAGAGAACCCTGAATTGACCTGGATTCAGGACAGATCCTTAGGGGACCTTGCTTGATACATCCCCCTACTCTCAATACTTGTGGGTGAAAAAATTGGTGTTTGAGCACAAGCTTTGGCCTTAATTTGGGAACAGTGAGGCATTAGGGCAGCTCATGTCACCATCTGAAGCAAAGCCTCAGCTTTATAAAACAGGATGGGCATGAAAATACACATGAGCATCATCTGTACCACCTGTCCTGTGCCTCTGCCCTGCCCAGCTCAGAGCACCATGTCCCACCTTCACTCCCTGAATCCCCACTGTCTTGGAGGGGTTATAAATATACATCCTCCTTCAGTTGGAGAAGGAAGAAGAGGATGCAGATGGGTGAGAACTGTTCCAGTGCAGCTCGCTCTCGCATAATGAGATCAGAATGCAGGCAGGAATGTGTGGAGGAGTGGAGCTGGCAAGGATTCACCAGCCTGAATTATTCTAAGCCTATTCCATCTCTAATCAAACCGTTTTGCTTTTTTTATTTTTTATTTTGGTATGCAAAGGTGCTTTACGGAGCTGTATCTGTTGGAACATAAAATTCAAGCTCTTTTTACTACAGGAGCAAATTCTAGTTGACAGGATGTTGCTCTTTGGGTGAGTTTTTGGTGTGCTGGGCTTCTTATAGTAGTATCCTTTGCTCTGGCTATTTTAGAGCACTTGGCATTTCCCTGCTATGTAGCCAATTTACTGGATGCTGGAAAGTATGAAATTGGATCTTCAAAAGGATCCTGGATAATTTCTGATGCTAATATAAATCTAAAAAAAACCCCAAACCCAAACAGAAAGGGGTGGGCAGAGCTGTATCACATGAGCTATCCAGACTTGTTTACATCCTGATTTGCAAAAGATACAGCTTGACCCCAGTGTAACCTTGATGTCTACAGAGGGAGAGGAAGTACTATGTAAATTAGAGCAGCCAAAACAAAACAGGCAGACAGAAGCTGAGTGTGCAGAACAAGCTGGGGAAGCACTCTGCAAACACTTTGCTAGGGAGAAGAAATGTGCACTATTTTTTTTTTTTTTTTTTAATTCCTGGGATAAAAATGGCTGTGAAAAAAACCAAACCAAACCAAACCAAACCAAACCAAACCAAACCAAACCAAACCAAACCAAACCAAACCAAACCAAACCAAACCAAACCAAACCAAAAGAACAACAAAAAAAACCCCAACAAAACAAAACAAAACAAAACAAAAAAACCACACCTTTGCTAAGAAAAAATGGCCATAGCCATTTTCCGCAATATAGGAACAATGTGTTTTCCTGCACCAACCATGCCCTTCCATTGAAAGCTCCTTGTGCCCAAGCTTTTTGGCTGCAATCTAAATGGGTTTTAAAGATAACAGTGGTGTCCTGAGGGCCCTACCAGGGGACCAAAGCAATGAACGCTGCCTAAATGACATTTATCAGCAGTGAATGGCTGGTGGTGGTGAGCAGACTCGTGTTAGTCCCACATGATGGATAAAGAAGGGGGAGAGCAGACCAAAGGCTGTGCATCATCCAGGAGCTCTGCAGCACCACTGGGGCCATGTAGTTCACTCTCCAGTTCTGCACTGGCCTGTGTGGCCAACCCATGAAGAGACTGAGAAAGAGATCTAGAGGGAAAATAATGTCATTTTTGCTGTGAGTTAAAAGCTTTCCACCCCACTTAAGTTTTTGCCATCCCTAACTCTGCACTTCCACTCCTGAGGCCGAGACTCTCCACACTTTTGACACTGCCTGGGATCTTCCTCTCGTGCCTTGGTGGCACTGATGGAGTGCAGCAGTTGTGAGCAGTGTTTAAAGCCTGGTGCAGAACAATTGTTTAGTCTGCTGCAGGCAGAGCCTAAGCCCAGTAGAAGTATGGTTTGTGGCCAGCAGCAGGTTCACAACTAGCTAAGTTTAAGAGGCAGCAATGAGGTAAAAGGGGCTCAGAAAAGGGGATAGCTCCATACCCCTGTATTGCCAACATCCTTCCTGAAATCTCCATTAAACAAATTCTGAACCACGTTACTTTACTGAAGTGACTGGGGAGAGCCAAATGAGCATTGTCTGCTTCCAGGAACAGCAGTTTTCTTTTGCTGGATGTCACATTTCTTGCTCCTGAGAAACCAGAGTTGTTCATGGAGCAGTACTGACCTGAGCTGTGCACATCTGTTACATTCCTTGGCTCATCCTGGGCTCACCAGGGCCACACTCTTCAGGCCTTTCTCAGGATGCTGTGAACGGTCCACTTGGGGGGTCAAGTACAATTCATGAAGAATCCCAGTGCCAGAATTTTGTTGATGCTGTTGAGAAATAAGAAGTATACTGTGCATAATGATGTCTGTGAACTTTTCATAGCCCTTGCTTGCCTGCTGTCTCCTACCAGCTACACACACACAATATACACTCATGCTTTTCTTTGTCAGAAACACATCACTTAAAATAACCTTTTGGTGTGTATATATACATTGAAGCAAAATATGTTTCCTAGGAATAGTAATTGATATAAGAGTCTTGCTTTAAATGCAGAGATTTTAGTCATAGAAAGCTTCTTCACCCTCTCCTGTACAAACTGTGTTTGTGCAGGAGAAATTTGAAAGAAAGTGTGAGAAGAGAAACAAAATCTTTTAAGGCTAAGGCAGGAAGGGAAGTTTAGGAAATATTAAGGCAATCAGAGTTGCCCTTTATTCCTTGCACTGCAGGTCTGTCAGTTTTCAGGGGTTTGAGCACAGGAAAACATCATGGACTCAGAGAATGATTTGGGTTGGAAGAGACACTAAGGATCATCTGGTTATATCCCACTGCCACGGACAGAGACACCTGTCCTTGGACAGCCTGGCCTTGGACACTTTCAGGGATGGGGCAGCCACAGCTGCTCTGAGCAACCTGTGCCAGGGCTTCACCACCCTCACAGGGAACAATTCCTTCCTAATATCTGATCCAAACCTGCTGTCTTTTAGTGTGAAGCCATTCCCCCTTGTCCTGTCAGTACATGCCCTTCCCAAAAATCCTTCTCCAGGTCTCTTCGAGCCTCTTTAGGCACTGGAAGTGGCTCTAAGGTCTCGCCAGAACCTTCCCTTCTCCAGGCTGAACAATCCCAACACTCAGCATGTCTTCACAGGCGAAGTGGTCAAGCCTCTGATCACCTTCTTGTCCTCCCCTGGACTCGCTCCAACAGGTCCATGTCCTTCTGCCCCAGGGCTGGGTACATCACTGCAGCTGGGTCTCACCAGAGCACAGCAGAGCAGAGGGGCAGAACCCCCTCCCTCCCCTGCTGCCCACATGGTTTTGGAAGGATCCCAGGGCACCTTCCCTGATCCCTTCCAGTTGGATCCAGTTGGATTTCTGGGCTGCCGGTGCACAGGGCTGGGTCATGTTGATCTTCTCAACAACCAACACCCCCAAGCCCTTCTCCTCCAGGATGCTGTGAATCCATTCTCCACCCAGGCTGTTCTGTGCCAGGATGTGCCTGCTCCAGCTCTCACCTCCAGCTCTGCTCTGCAGCAGCAGGAAACGTGAAAGGAAGCTGGCTGGAAAGCAAATGTCTCTCTCCAGTGGAGACCACAAGGTTCAGCTAAGTCTGAAAATCTGGCTTTCAATTCATTCTCTTTTCAGATTTTGACCATGTGGGAAATATTTATTCCTCCTTGCACAGAAATTGATGAAGTAAATGGGAAATGTATCTTCTTAGGATTTAATTTGCTTGGTGATTATACTAAATTAGTTTCAACCATTGAGCAGTTTAGCAAACCTCCATTAATTTTTGTAAGGAAATACTTGCCTGAATTTTTCTGTGAATTTATATGAAAAGAATAGCTACTAAATCTTCTCCCATCTGTGTGTTTTTGATAAGGATATTGCTAATATGTATAATCAGAACCTGAATCCTAATTGAATGCTAACGTGTTAAGTGTAATGTAGCCTCTACTTCATAAATAACAACTGGGTTGTGGAGTTAAAACAGTGCAATGACAGTGCCCAGTATTTTGTACAATAAACTTATTTTCAGATTTTTGAAGCAGCCAGGCAGAATCAGGAACTTAATTCAGCATTTACTCAAGCATTTGGGGTGTTTAAGCCATGTTGACCTACACTGCCTTTGGAAATCTGTTCCTTTCCTTTTCAAAGCATAAGTGAAGAATAGAACTTGTTGCATTCTCTTGGTTTTCAGACAGTGCTGAGGTAATTTACAGTGATAAC